ACCTTGTCTCAAAATAGAAAATAAAAAGGGCTGGGGACATAGCTCATGGTAGAGCATCCCTGGTACGTCCTTGGTTCAATCCCTAGTACTGCCAGAAAAAATAAATAAATAAAATCCAGATTGAGAAGTCACCAGAGAAAAGGAGAGAGCTTGAAGGAGTCATGAAATTAGAACTGGAACTTAAAAAGGGAACTCTACTCTCTTTCTTCTCCTTACTTATTTTCAAAAATTTTGATGTCCCACGTTTGAACTGGCCAATCGCCAATGGAAATAGCAATTCGTTAAAACAATGTAAGATATTATGATTATTCACAGGCACTGTACTGGGGGGAATAATGCCCACCATACTCTGGCCAGAATTTGTGTACTGTCAGAACCTGTTAATGTAACCTTATGTGTAAATAGGGTCTTTGCAGGTGTAATCAAGTTAAAATGAGGACATAATGTATAAGGGTGAAGTAAACCCTAATCCAATGACTATTGTCCCAAGGAGAAGTAGTTCAGACAAAAATACATATAGAGGGACTGTAGTTGTGGCTCAGTGGTACGGCACTTGCCTAGCATGTGAGAGGCACTGGGTTTGATTCTCAGCACTGCATATAAATAAATGAATAATAAAAAAGGTCCGTCAACATCTAAATAAAATATTTTAAACCCCCATATCTATATTACATTAAAAAGAAAATACACACAGAGGGAAAATGGCCACGTGAAGAGAGGATAGAAATGGGGAGCGTCACAAACCAAACCAAGGAACGTCAAGAATTGCTGGTAGCTATCAAGAGCAGAAAGATGCAAAGGATTCTTCCCTAGAGGGAACATTGGGAACAGAGCCCTGGGAACAGACAGCTTGATTTCAGATGTCTAGCCTCCAGAACGACAAGAAAATAAGTTTCTGTTTTAAGTCACTTTGTGCATGATAATTTGTTATGGAAGCCCTGTGAGTCAAATATAGGCATCAAGTTCATTGTGAACTATCTCCCACAGGAAATTTTTTTTCTTTGGGGTACCTAACTATCATAAAGTCTGGGCTATAAGGGCATCTTGAGTTGTATCAAAAAGTTGTGTTAAAAAATAAAAAAGTGGGCTGGGGATATGGCTCAAGTAGTAGCACTCTCGCCTAGCATGTGTGAGACATTGGGTTCGATCCTCAGCACCACATAAAAATAAAATAAAGATATTGTGTTCACCTAAAACTAAAAAATAAATATTAAAAAAAGTTAGGGTTTATATTGACCCATCTTTTCTTTCTTACCATGGAGATAGATGCTTTAGGCCTCCCACGGCATATTTTTCTTTCTGTTTTGAATGCCACAGCATCCTCTATAATTCCATCTTAAATGTTCAAACTTCCCAGGTGATCTGCTATAAATCAACCTTCTATTCTAATGGCTTCACCTTTTGCCTTCCCCCTACACGCTTCTTTTTCTAAAAATAAAATAATAACATTTATTTATTTATTTATGGTACTGGGGATTGAACCCAAGGGCATTCTATCTCTGAGTTACATATCCAGCCTTTCTTCTTCTCCTTCTCCTTCTCCTTCTCCTTCTTCTTCTTCTTATTGTTTTTATTTTGAGACAGGATCTCACTAAGTTGTCCATGCTCACCTCTAACTTGCGATCCTCTTGCCTCAGCCTCCTGAATCACTGAGGTTACAGGTGTGTACCACCACACTTGGCTAAAAATAAATTTATTTAAAGTATGCAGAGAAAAGAAAATATAATAAACACTATGAATTCATCACCCAGACTTTTCTCCCTACCTCTGCCCCCACTTTCTTCTTTTCTTTCTCCTTTTCTACCATATTCTTATGTCTATTCCACCCCACATACTGCTCTCAATTTCTCAAGGAAGGTGAGGTAGGTGCAGAAGGACCCAGCCTGACTATATGCCTGCTCTGAGGATATAATACACACACACACAGGGGATGAAAATTAGGTGGCTGACACTGGGCGCAGTGGTACATGCCTGTAATTCCAGTGGCTTGGGAGGCCGAAGCAGGAGGATCCCAAGTCCAAAGTCAGTCTCAGCAACTCAGTGAGGTTCTAAGCAACTTAATGAGATCCTGTATTGAAATACAAAGTATTAAAAATGACTGGGAATGTGGCTCAGTGGTTAAGTGCCCCTGGGTTCAATTACCCTCCAACTAATTTGAGTATTCCCAACACCTCTCTTTCCTGCCTTTTAAATATGCTCTTATAATCTTGGCATTTTTGCCTTTAAAACCAGATTTTTGGGGCTGGGGGTTTAGCTCAGTAGTAGAGCACCTGTCTAGCATATGCGAGGCCCTGGGCTTGATACCCAGTACTGCAAAACACAACAGCACCAACAAACTAAGATTTCTTTGCCCACAATAATCGGTAATGTATGAAATATGTTGGAGATGGGCTTCTATAGCTTTCTTTTAGATATATACCTATATTTTAAGTGACAGATTCTCTTTCCTCCTGAGACTCCTTTCAGAAGAGAGTGATCTACGTCCCATCTGGCCTCATGTAAGAAGGAGAATAGTCAAGACCAGTACCTAGACATGGTACAAATTGTTTTCCTTACTCCTTTTGCCTTCTTTTGTCTTCTTATTACCTTGTAAAGCTTCCCACTCGAGGGTTTTTATGTTGTTGTTTTAGAAATACTTATAAACTTCTGGTCATAGCCTTCAATTTCCTAATTTTTCCTTAAACTTAATGTCTCTGATTAGAATTTCAAGTTACAGATTATCTTTCAGAATCTGTTTTTAGTGTAATTTAGAGTTCAGAAGATCATTTAGGAGACAAGTAAAGGTACAAATAAAACAGCATAACGTATTTATAAAAATACATTCCTATTTCCTTTTAGCTTGACTTGTAGAAACGCAATGAATGGAAATGGTACTATGTTTTTCTCACTTCTCCTCATTTGTTTTGGATCACAGACTTCATTCTGATTTAGGAGTCTTTCCTGCTCAGCATTTCAGTGATAATTCTCCCCATGGTCTACAGGATCCCTGTTCTCCTTGTTTCTATAGCAACAGTCCTGTGTTGCTTGGCTAGAAGTAATTTTCTACTGCTGTGGTGAAGCCCTATTTTTTTCATTCCTTTCTCTCTAGTTGCCTTGGTAACCAGCCTCTTCCTTTTCTGGTCTCTTGGTGGTAAATTCCACCCCCCCCTCTTTTTTTCCCCCCTCTCTAGTAACAGTCACCTGGTCATGACTTGGACAGTGTTATTCCATCTGTGAATGAGCATATTCTGTCATCATCAGATTGTCATCATGAAATCAATCTCCTTTTTCCTTATGTCCATCAAGCTCTGGTCTGCCATTTTTCTGGTGGTTGTCATGGTAACCATACCCTCTGAAAGTATCCAAGCAAAGACTCTACAGTTAACAACCATCATATGAGAGTGTCTGCCAATATGTGGCCACACATCTCCATTTTAAATCCAGCCCCAGGCGGGTATCACAAATTGGAGAGAACATGGCTTTTGATAAAGCAGTCTGGATTGAGAAAAAGAAGTACTGGGGACCTAGAACTGGAAACTGGTATTCCTCCTCAAAACATAGGAGGCTACAAGGGTCAGGCAGGGACTGCAAGAGTGGCCATTATGCCAAAAGAATTTCAAGTGATTGAGAAATATATTGACAGTCATTTGAGGCAGGCCCATGATATGCTCTAAATTTCCAGGGGTCACTCCTTTGGTACAAGGTTTGACCTGAGAGCTAGGCAGAACCAATAATCGGGAAAAACAAATTGTAACTATTTTTTGGTAGTGTTGGGGATAAAACTCAGGACCTTGCATATGTAGGACATCCCCAGCACTGATTTAACACTGATAGAAATCTCCATCCCCAAAACTCTTAACTTGGCTAAAGAGGGATTATCACAATAGGTTTTTAGGCACTTTTATACATTACCAAAAATTTCTCTGCCCTTAGATTGCTCTTATCTCTTTAGGGAGGCAGATGGGATGTAAAAATTATAATACTAATAAGTGTTCAACAAATGGTGGTTGTTATGCCCTGGGGCATTGTAGCAGAGACTTTTCAGACATTATTTAATTTTCTCCTTATGGCACTTCTGGAAGAATACTGAGGTTAAGAGGTGAAGTTAGGGGCTGGGTGTGTAGCTCAATGGTAGAGCATCTGGGAGGCTCAATACTCAGAAGGGGGGCACGGAGTGAAGTGTATGGAGGTCACAGGTTCATCTGATTCCAAAGTAATTTCATAAAAGGGTGTGTGGAATCTCTTGAATTTTGGTCCTGTTTGGTTCTAATTTTTCCCACCCACACTTTAATCTGAGGGTTGTTACTATTTTATCCTTTCTGCTGTCCTTCCATTTCCTCTTCTAATATTGTGGGTTGTTGTTCATTAGTTTGCTTTTCTGTTCTCATCTTATCTCTTGCATCCTTTGGCCAAGGGGATGGAAAGTTTTGTCCTGGTTTCTGATTGCATCTGACGTTGTACTGCAGAATGAAAACAGTAGAGCAGCCGCCCTTGTCTGAGAACTGGGCAGACCTGATTCTGGAGAATGGCATACCTTTAAGCTCACTAGCGCCAGCACTAAATAGGCAAGTCATTTTTTCTGTCCATTTAACAATTATTGGGTGTTCATTCGCTACCAACTCCTGCTTCCAGGCCCTGGAGATACAGCAATAGCCTAGGCAGGACTTTCTTTTGCCATTGTGGAATTTACAACCGGAAGTATAAGTCAGAAAATAACCAAGAGGCCAATATATAGTTATATATTCTAATTAGTGCTATGAAGAAAAAAATTGGGTGCCGTGAAATAAGAAATAATAGGGATGCCTCTATTTTAGATGGGGCTGTCTTCCCCGTTTTAAGAGAGCAGGCAGGTGAGGTTCTGATGCCAGCTAGCTTATGGCAATCCCACGTGAGCCTCCTAAATTGAGACCTTTGTCCTGTAGCGCCCTTCTGTCTCAGCATCCTTCCTTTAGAGCCTGAGATACGCGCCGGCGCATTGACTGTTGCCATGGAGACAGTGTCCGGCGCATGCGCAAATACCTCCAAGATGGCGGCGATGGCGGCTGCACGAGCTGTTCCTGTGGGCCCTGGGCTTCGGGGCTTGCAACGAACATTACCTCTGGTAGTGATTCTCGGGGCTACCGGCACTGGCAAGTCCACCCTGGCATTGCAGCTAGGCCAGCGGCTTGGTGGAGAGATCGTCAGCGCTGACTCCATGCAGGTATGGCAGTGCGTCTGGCCCCGGGTCTGGGAACGCTGAGGGCCGCGCGCAGGCCTTTGGAGTGGACGTCCTGTCGCGTGGCGGTAGTGGGTAAACTTGAGGCTTGTGTACCATAGGGGCTAGGTGAAGGGAAACCATACTTACTAGGTGTCAACCGTATGCCTACACAATTACGACACTGTAGTTTGGTACAGACTATGATCATCTCTCCATTTACAGATGAGGGTGTTGGGGGGAGGTGAAACGACTTGCTCCGTGTCACACTGCAAATAAATGGAGGAGATGATATTTGAACCTACAAGGTTGACATTTAGGCGTGCAATGAATATCTTTTTAAATTAAAATTATTGAAGAGCTTTTGCTGTAATTCTAACTTTAACCCAGTGAGACCAGGAAAAATTAGATGCGTCCTGTGAGCTTCTTCTGGCATGATGGAATATAGCAAGCAGGAGACCTGGATTCGAGTATAGAATCTGCATTGGCCATGTGACTTCTGATTACCAATGCCCTTTATTTGGACCTTATAGTGTAGAGGAAATGTTATCCACTTCACAGTGGGGAAATGTTTAGTAAATGAGATCATGAATGTTTGAATTAAGAACAGGATGGTCTGCCCAGAAGAAGGCCACATATGTGGTAAAGCTGAAGTTCTCAACCCTGTTGGCTGAGTGACTTGAGGGATCTTTCCCTCTTCTTTCAGCTGGGAGGGGGTATCTTATTCATCTCAGGTGGGAGCATTTGTGCTTGATTGAAAGTGTGTGACATTTGGGTGAATCTAGTGGAGCAATTACAACAATTGTTTGTTCAAGAGAATTTACAGTTCTGCATATTCACAGTAATTGAGATGTTGAACATGAAGTGCCTGCCACTGAACCTAGCCTCCAATGAGTACTTAACAGGAATGGCAATTCTTTTCCTCATTTCACTCTATAAGCCCTTTAGCATGAATTCTACCTTATTAGCTCATTTGGGGTGACAAGACCATTAGCACACACGAAATGAAAGGATAATTCAAAAGGTTTGCATTTGGCTTTGTGCCAGCTTTGGGAGACAGAATTTAGCTAAAATTCCAGCTCTGTCTTTTCCAAGATATGCAACTTTAACCTAACTTCCGTGTGCCTTTGTTTCTTCTATAAAGTAGGAAAATAGTAACAACATTATTGTGATGATTAAATGAGATAAAGTATGTGAAGCACTTAATACACTATATGGTATGAAGTAAGAGTTAAAAATATGGTAGCTACTGCTTTCTGCAAGATCAGAGACAAAGCCATAATCTCTGTACTTAAGGAGTCATGTATATACAGATTAGACATCTGTATATACATGAAATATGGTTAGAGCTAGTAAGTGTTTGAACAGAGACATTTATGGTGCTTTGCAAGGTGGACAGGATTGGGGGAAGTGAGACTGAAAGTACTAGATTTGATGATAAACTATTAAATATTATCAAAATCATGAGAAGGAGAAGGGTGAAATCATTGAAGGTTGGCATAGTCATGGAAAGCTCTCTAAAAATGGGCTTGAGATATAGGTCAGGTTTGGATAGGTAAAAAAGAAGAAAAGACATATCAAAGGAAGGAACACAAGAGTTAAAAGGTGAGGGTTGGCGCTAGGGATATAGCTCAGTTGGTAGAGTGCTTTTGCCTCACATGCACAAGCCCCTTGGTTCAATCCCCAGCCCCCTTCCCCCCAAAAAAAAAAAAAAAAAAGATGAGGGCTGGGGGTAGAGTGCTTGCCGTGCACATGTGAGGCACTAGGCTCAATACTCAGCACTACATAAAAATAAATAAATAAAATGAAGGTATAGTGTCATCTACAACTAAAAAAAAAAAGAAAGAAAGAAAAGTTAAAAGATGAAATGGTCAAAGAATATATAGTAAAGAGACTGTTAAATAGCTTGGTATCATAGATATTATGGTGTGAGATGAGTAACATGATGAAGGCAGTATGTAAGGAGCATGCATTTGTGAGCAAAATATGTATTGAATCGAAGAATGGTATTAATAATAGATCTAAGACCTAATACTTTTTTTTTTTTTTGTACTGGGGTTTGAACTCAGGGGTTCTCAACCATTGAACCACATCCCCTGTCCTATTTTGTATTTTATTTAAGGACAGAATCTCACTGAGTTGCTTAGCACCTCACTGTTGCTAAGGCTGGCTTTGAACTCATCCTCCTGTCTGAGCCTTCTAAGCTGCTGGGATTACATGTGTGTGCCACCAGGCCTGGCTCTATGACCTGATACTTTGGAGACTTGATTAATATGGACTTTAGTAAGATGGAGTTACACAAATGATATCTAAGGACCATTCCAATTCTTCCATTCTATAATTTCTATATTCTGAGTTGGTGTGGTGTTAATAGGGATGGAGGAGAAAAGAAAGATGTAATGTTTTGAAGGTAATATCATGTTATTATTTTACTGATATCAGTTGGTCATTGATTGAGGAAGGACGAGAAAAATGGGTACAGTGTAGTTCAGGATTCAGATTTGGACGCCTGGGAGAATGGTGAACTTGGAGATCAGGAAGATTTTGCATCTAAGGGAAGTCTAGTTAGTGGATATTTGGAGAATGCTCTAGACAAAAACCCACTTCAGGACTCTTGCACTTGTTATCTCTGCCTGATAGAACCTCTGTTCTTACATAACAGTGTGGCTTGTGCCTACTTTTCTGAGATGTCACCTTTCCTATACCACCAGAATTCCCAGTCAAAAGTATTCTCACCAGGTGCTGTGGCACTTGCCTGTAATTCCAGCAATTTAGGAGGCTGAGACAGGAGGACTGCAAGTTTGAGACCAGCCTCAGCAATTTAGTAAGGCCCTAAGCAACTTAGCAAGACCCTGGCTCAAAACAGAAAAATGAAAAGGACTAGGGATGTGGTTCAGTAGTCAAGTGGTTCAATCCCCAGTACCAAAAAGGGGGAAAAAAGTGTTCTTAATAAATCAGCTTAATTTTACATCTATTTTATTTTATTTTATTTTGGTACTGGGGATTAAACCAAGGGACTTTCTACCTATGAGTAGTATCCCTAGCCCTTTGTATTTTATTTATTTATTTTTGCAGTACTAGGAATTGAACCCAGGGGCATGCTACCATTGAGATATCTATGTATCTAATATCTCTATCTATATATGACCCTAACCTCTTTTGTTTTTTGAGACAGGATCTTGCTAAGTTGTTGAGACTGACCTCAAGCTTGTGATCCTCATGCCTCAGACTCCTGAGTAGTTAGGACTATAGGCATGTGCTATTGTGGCCGGCTTTACATCTATTTTTAAGTAATTTATTGGGTTCTGGTAATGAGGGTTGCGTATAACTCTGTAATAGCTATTGCATACTCAGAATGTTTCTTTACTCAAAGCTGTGTGCCTAAGGGTAAAGTTGCAGAGGCCTTGCTCACAGTAAAATAGGCTGGTTGGTGGAATACTTTATGCCTCACGTAGTGCTGATGATATGGTAGATCTTTAATGTTTGGTGAAATATTTTATTAAAAGGGTACATTTTATAATTTTAATACATTCAAGTTCTTTCTGTGGTTGTAACTGGAATATGAGAGTTAAATTTCTTTCATCCTTCGGATGCTATGAGGATTAATTAATATATGAAAAACAATGAAGACTGTTGAACTTTCTGAACTGTTTATAGATTGTGTTTAATTTTGATTATACCGTGGATATTCATAATATTTTCTCTTGATCCCTACTAAAAAATTTTGCCTTTATTTTTACTTTTAAGTTGAAATAATGAAATGAATTATCCATGTGCCATTCTTTGTGGGTATGCACAATTCTTCATTTCTGTCTTTGCTCACCATCCTCCCCCTGTTAGAGTAGTGCTGCTCTGCTTGTTTTTTAGCCAATGAAATTATATGCTGCTTTTCAGTGACTTGAGGTTCATTTGGAATATATTTGGCAAATGTGAACAAAATGCCATTCTGTGTGTGTGTGTGTGTGTGTGTGTGTTTCAAGGGCAAGCCATATGAGACATAAAGTGTCTAAATTACATGGACTACTGTTCAGTGAGCAAGGCCTCTAGCAACTTTTCCTTGATGATATACAACTAATGCTAGGCAAGTGCTCTATCACAGAGCTATATAACCCAGCCTGAAAAATGACATTCTTTTTTTTTTTCTTCTTCTTCTTTTTTCCAAGGCCTTGCCCATGATAGGCAAGTGCTTTACCATTGAGCCACATCTCCAGTCCTTTTTATTTTTTATTTTGAGACAGGGTTTGGCTGAGTTGCTAAGGCTAGCCTTAAATTTACCATCCTCCTACCTTAGCATCCCAGGTAGCTGGGATTATAGGCCTGTGCTGCAATGACTGGCTAATATTTACATTTTAGTATCCCTTTCAACATGCTGCCCAGACTTTCATATTCAGAAGTGTCTCAGTGAGGAAAAACAAAAAAAGTTGTAAAACGCTGCCCTAAATTTTCAATTGTCTTGCATGTCATACCTTCATCCCTTTGTCCTACCTTGACTGTAGGGTCATTCCAAGGCAACCCCCTACAGCTCATTTTCTTTCCAGGGAGAGTGGTTGGCATATGTATGTCCAGAACAGATATTTATTTGTACATTCATGTTCATAGCAGCATTATTCACAGTAGCCAAAAGATGGAGGCAATTCATGCTTCTACCAAAGTTGTATAAATAAAATGTGGTGCATACATTTAAGAAAATATTATTTTCCTATTTTATTTTCAGTGTGCTTAAGCATAATGTTTCAAGTGAGTTTCTTGTAGACGGTAATGGTTAGGTCATGTTCTACCCATTGTTGTCTTTTAATTGGTATATTAATAACATTCATAGTAATGTAATTATTCTGTGTTTGGGCTTAGGTCTGCCATTTTATTCATTTTTCTGTTCTCTTTTTATTTCTGTATTTTTTACATTCCTGAAAATTAAACATTTTTTTATAGTTTATATTAATTCATCTTGATTTTGAGAGTAGGTTACTGGGGATTGAACTCAGGGGCACTTGACCACTGAACCACAT